TGTGTGTGTGTGTGTGTGTTTGTGTGTGTGTGTGTGTATGTGTGTGTGTATGTGTGTGTGTGTGTGTGTGAGTGTTTTGTGTGTTGGCGTCTTTTAACATTTGAACTCATGGGGCGGGACCTCCGAGCCTTAATTTTATGACAAAGCTAACTGTGTCAGGACGCGCTGGAATCAGGCGCTCGTCAATTTTTGGATATGTAAAGTTATTGGTATCATTTCAAAACATGTTACTCTGACTTACTTTCAATAATAAAAAAAAAAACAACGTCCATCTATCTTGAACAGAAGTCGAAATATCCGTGATTGCAGGATGTGAGATCGCCTGGTGTCAGAAGTTGAATTAGTGAGAAAATCTCGGCCACAATTTGGTTGAGCGTACTTGAAAACTTCAAAGTTTCATTTTGGTACTCTTGATCAAAGTTTTTAAAATGCACACAATATCTAATTTTAATCGGACTTAAAAGACGAGGGGCATGAGCCCCAAGAAATCGATTTGATATTGTTCAACAGGCGAAAAAGGTCAATTTTTCCGATTGTATTATATTGACCAGGGCAAGATTTCAACACGATGTTACATAAATGGGTGGGAAGCACTGAAAACTTCTCAAAACAAACAGAAATACACAAAACACTCTGTTAGGATGTGAACCAGGGTAACCCACTCCTGAGTCCTGCATAATACCTACTGAACTAGCAGTGCACTCTGTGTTCCTTCCTGTACCGGGGTCCCGACATACAAAGTTTGAATCCTCAGTGAGTTATTCTTCGGCTGTGTGAGAGAGCTTTCCGTAAAACTTCGACCCCCCCCCTCACCCCTCCTCCCTCCCTGTTTCTTCAATACGTCAAAACCATCTATCTCTCCTATGACGTCATGGCGACCTAAATATGGCCGGACAGAGACCCCGGATGTATGTCGCAGCCCCAGAATACAAAATTGTATACCTGACATTTTTGGCCGTTCTGAATTGCCAAGGCTATGATGTCAAAAACCAAATGATGTTCTTTCTGCTCTATCAAAAACCGTAAGATTATTCTGAGTCGTTACCCAGATATACCAAGAATTGCTTTCGAAAAAGCTTGACATTTTGAGAAACACCAATTTTTTACTTCAAATTTCTCAAAACTAGTTACTGAGAAGACAAAACTTTATAATTCTTGGGTACCAATGTGTTAAATCAACCGAGTTCCAAATTGGGATGGGTTTCGGGAAGGGCGTGGGGGGGGGGGAGCTCAAGTTTACTTTCACAGAGTTTTCCTGACCTGTCGGCCTAAGGTTTAAACAGGAGGCTGAGAGTATAATAATATAGTAAAAAGAGAATTCCACGAGCTTCACGAGTGATGTGTCCGTGCACTCCACTGCCCTATAAAACAGCGGGGAAGGAAAAGGTTAATGGCCTAGAAAATTGGTGCTCATTCCTGAACTTAATGGACAATTGAGTTCACTGCCCCCTTCCGTATATCGTTATCCTGAGGGTCCCCCCCCCCCAAACTCCCTTTCCCCCCCTCTCTCTCTCTCTCTCTCTGTCTCTGTCTCTGTCTCTGTCTCTGTCTCTCTCTGTCTCTCTCTCTCTCTCTCTCTCTCTCTCTCTCTCTCTCTCTCTCTCTCTGTATGTTTATAATGGTATGTGTGTAGATGTGTTTGTATATACTTTAATATATCTATCTCTGTATATATTTTAATATATCTATCTCCCGCCTTTGAGTTTGTGCATGCATGCGTGTGTGTTTGTGTGTGTAATGTATCTGTGTATGTTTATGTGTGTTTCTGAGTATGTGTAAGCTTGTGAATGTGTGTGTGTGTGTGTGTGTGTGTATGTGTGTGTGCGTGTTTGTATGTGTGTGTGCATGTAAGTGTGTGTGTGTGTGTGTGTGTGTGTGTGTGTGTGTGTGTGTGTAAGTGTGCGTTTGTGTTTGTGTTTGTGTGTGTGTGTGTTTGTGTGTGTGTGTATTTAACATACAAACGTAAACGTACACACAAACAGATATGTACGCTACAACGCACACAAACATACACACTCACACGTACACACACATACACACACATACACGCACATACATACTAACAAACAAACAACAAAGTACAGTTTGGACTATTTTAAGAAAATGTATTTCGACTCTGTTCCACCATACAGGACTGCCCTATTTTGGGCTGTGCAGTGTGCACGGTGGAAGGTGTATTGTCATGCGTAACTTGCTTCAGGTTACTCTCCATTGCTCAATCCTTGGGCCATGTAAAAAAGCCATCCACTCCCACCCGTACTCCCCCCCCCCTACATACCCCTCCATCCTCCAACTTCCTGGACGTGAAGCTCTCAACAAGTCACACCGCCCAAAAACAAAACAAAAGCAAACAAACAAAAAATGCAAGTAGACAACACCCCCCCCCCCCACTGAAGAAAACAAAACAACAAAAACTCCAGAAAAGACCTTTAGGTAGAAAACTTTCCCAAATCTGTGACGTGCTAATCGGTACAACAGTCTGGGAACATGGATTCTCACCCTGGAACAAGCACCTAGACAGACAGTGGAACCACACGAAAGTGGCCATTTCCTGTAGTTTTTTTTCCCTTTTATAGAGGGGATGCAGATGTCCAGAATCTCCCCTGAGAGTATATCACGGGGGTGCTGTTTGTCTGATCTGGGTCTTGGTAAACGGTATGTGACAGTAGAGAACTTTTGGAAGATTGATTTAGTTGAATTAGTTGATACAACGAAAACTGAAGGAAGGTGTGTTAGGTAGTATTATAATTATTCTTTTTCTTAACATTCTATAAGGGGGAACTTTGGTTGTAACAGCATAATGTCGGCAAAACATTCCTCTGTTCTAAGTTCCACGAGCAACGTTTTCCTAGACAGAGGGAATAAAAAGCTTCATTCTTTCAAACTATCTGTGTTTTAAAAAAATAATTTGGGGCCTTGAAATGTTTTTCAAACACATGCAACCAATATAACACAAATTAACCAATAATTATTTTTTCCTCAAAATTTTAAGTTTAGTACGCCTAAGCATTATACTAAAATACATAGGCACGTACTTAAAGCTGCTGCTGCTGCTGCTGCTGCTGCTACTGCTGCTACTACTACTACTACTACTACTACTACTACTACTACTACTACTACTACTACTACTTTTTACTTTACCTTTTTATTCTGCCTGTACCGGTGGGTGTCGCGGGGAGACACAGGCGTCTGTCTGATGCAAGGCGAGTGGCCTGTTGGAGGGGCATCCCGTGAGCTCTGAGGGTGTCTGCCACAGATTCACTCCAGCGTCGCCTTGGTCTTTCTCTTGCTCTTCAGCCAGAATATTTGACGTCATATGCCCCGAAAGCTGGTTGGTTTGAGGGCATCCGTGTGAGGTATCCGAACCACTTGATGCTTTGCTTTTCAATGTGTGGTAGGGCTGGTGTTGCTTCTACCGTGTCCCTTATGATTTCCTTTTTTATTTTGTCGCTTCTTGTCTTGTTAACCGCTCTTCTTAAACATTTCATCTCGCATGTGACCAGCTTCCTCTCTTGGGCTTTTGTTCGGGACCATGTCTGACACTGTTATGTGAGTGTTGGTAGGAAAATGGCGTTGATGAGCTTCGCCTTATTGCTCTGGGGCTATTGGGATGTCTCAGCAGAAGGGCGAGTCTGAAACAACCCCAACTTCCTGGGAAGAATACAGTGCAAATTGCCATTTTAAAGACGATAAAGCGTTAGCATACTGACAAGATCTTTCGCTGTCTATGGCCAGGTACCCATTCCCACCTGGGTGTAGTGAGGAGATTTGGCGTAAAGTGCCTATCCCAAGGTCACTTTGTCCGGCCTCACTATTACAAGTCCCAAGGTCTAACCACTGGGTTACCGACGCCACAATTCACATTGTATAGGCCTAAAACATTGCTGCTCACCACAGTGTAGCGCCGTTTTGCTGAACTACGGTTGTCACTTCTGGCTTGATAACACACCATGTAACCACCTGTCCAAACACCACACCGCCGACATAATTATATTATATTATGCTAGATGTATACAAATTAGCGGTTCAGAAATTGATGTAAGAATGACCATATCTTGGAAAGTTTTCATTGATCCTTTTATTCATTCACTGAATTGGGTAGTGGAGAAGGTCTAAGAATAAAGCTAAGTCCCGCGTTTCATAAAGCTCAGATTATAGGCATATAATTCCTTGCAGGCAACTGTTTTGTTCGGTGTTAGAAGCTTGTCCTCTATCGACAGCCCATTGACCGCCACCACTCTCGACCAACAACATAGGCGACAGTGAGCTGATCTCGCGGAGACAACCCTTGTGTTTGTTCTGCCTCACCCAACCCTGCCCTTCACACTCTCAATCCCTTTTCTGTTTTTTTTTTTTCGTTAACTACTCGGACTTGGTGGATTAAGTTAAGAAAAAGTATTGACCTATCTCCAGTGCTTAAAAGAAAATAATATAATAAGGTCAGTGAGCAAAAGCAGAGCCAAGATGCTTACATATTATTGCTAAGATTGATTTCTATCAACAAGTCATTACCTCAGAATTATAAAGTTCTACCTGACATTTCGGCCGTTTTGAGTTACTGAGACCACGTTCTATCAGCTTTATCAAAATCGTAAGATTATTCGCAGTCTTTATCAATGTATTCAAAGAACTGGATTCGAATAAGCTTGACATTTTGAGAAACTTAAAACCTTTGACGTCAAATTTCTCAAAACTAGATACTGAGAAAGATAGAACTTGGTAATTCTGGGGTAGTGAAGTGCCAAGAGTTGTTTTGAAACTTGAGTCAATTGAAATGTATCTTCCGTATTAGGCAATGCGTGTGCAAATGACGAAAGTTAATAAAAATAAACACACATTTGTTTGTTTTTTTTAAACTGCATAACAAATTTAATGAACATAACTACAGCCATCGTAGGGCCCTTTGAGTGCACAGCAGTAAACAGTACAAACAGGCTTATGCTGAAATGTACAAAGGAAATCAAGTGAAAATGAGCCACGAGCTTTCATGACAACTTTCACACTCCTAGTCCAACCTGAGAGACCAACACACTCACGGGACAGATAGTGATGGCGTTGACCACAACGAATTTTTAAAAAAAGTCCAGAAGTCCTGAAATGTTGGTCAACTGGCGAGCGGAAGTTGCTTTGTTCTCAATATCAATGGCTATTAAATCTGGCTGTCATGGTGGTGGAAGTTTGACCTAGTTATTGGACTGGACAGACTTTACATGAGATAAGGTAAATGACTTTTTTCGTTCCACAGGTGATGCTGAGAGAAAGGTGTTTCTTTAAATGGCAGCTTTCTTCATAGTCGGTCACTTTTGTGTTTGCACGTGTTTTGCATCTAAGCTTTTGACGAGGGCGATTTTGAGGAACGGTATTGGGTGGTTGGAAGAGAAGATGGGGGTATTAATGTTTTAGAGCGAAAGAGGAGGTCGCTAATATTTGAGGACTGGCTAATTGCAGTAATAGGGGCTAAGGGAAACAGGTTTTCTTATTGTCTGATTTTTCTAAAATGTTTTTATGTTTGTTATGGATTTTATTGGGTAGATTTAACTGTTGGTGGCGAGTTCTGACGAAGACTGGTTTTTTTCTGCTTGGACTTAACGTGTTTACAAGTTAGTCATCACCATCGTTATTATTATTACCATGGTCGTCGTCGTCATCATCATCATCATCATCATCATCATCATCATCATCATCATCATCATCATCATCATCATCATCATCATCATCATCATCATCATTCGTGTTGTAAGCATGGTAATAAAACACATAAATTGGTGGAGATTTAAGGAGGTCAAAGCTCACATGATGTACTAAAAACTCCCCGAGACATGAGCATACAGCCGGAGAATGACTGACTGAGTATTAAATCCTTTTCTCTCAGGACTAAGGTACAGGAAGGCACACAGGTCGCACTGCTGACTCAGTTGGTAGCATGCTGGACGAAAGTATGGGCGGCTCTTGTTAAAATTTCTAGTTCTGTACTTTTTTGAAAATGTGGAGTTTTTAAAGCTTTCCACCAATTTGGCTCAGCCCCATCGGATATGGACTTCAGATCTAGTGGTCTCACCCTGAAATAATCTAACACTGTTGAAGGAGACGTTAAGTCTGTACGATGCTACAGTGAGAGATGTACAAACTAGGCCAAACTAAAACAAAATTAACAAGAGGAACAAAGAGAATGAATCGTTTATTCTTTTCCATTTAGGGAAACCAGGTTGACAAAATAAGAGGCTGGCCACAAGGAGACTGATATAACGATGTAGTGAAAGCATCCTATATGAACCTGCAGATTATCAGTTGGGATCAAGAGAGGACTCTGTTCACGTTCTTTATTTCGAAAACATGTTTACTGCCTGGTGTTTGAGAGAAACACGTCATGTAGACACTTCAAGAATTTTGATAGTGGGACAAGCACGATTAGAATGCTTGGTATTTTCATACATGATGGAATATTATCCAATTTCATCTATCAAAAGAGAAAAAAATATTGGTTTGGTATTTTATCCAACATGGTTGATATTGTCGCTTTTCACTTTTGGCCATAGACAAGAAATAGAGCCAACGGCGTACTATCGATGATGCTTGATAAACATTTTCCTCACACGGAAATCGTAACTGTATCTTCTGCGTGTGTTAGTTAAACACGTAAAAACCACAGCACTTACGCCAGATTCTTTACTTCAAACTTTCTTTGTTTATAGTAAGAGTTAATCAAAGCCGGGCTGGTCTTCAGCCTGGTCTGTACTAAGAGACAACGATCCCAATTTCAGTTTGAGGAGGAAATGAAGAAAGAAAACAATCTGAAACCGATAAAACTTGAACCTTGAACCCCCCCCCCCCCCCCAAAAAAAACCCCAAAAAAAATCTCCCTACCCACCCCGGGCTGAATTATTCCGCATAAAACAAACAAGTACGCACAGCCAGGATCTCCACTCGCACTGCCGCCACGTTTAGGTACCTGTAGCCTAATTTGTCAATGTACTCTTTTTTTACAACGGTGGTGGGGAATAAGGGGGTGGGGAATAAGGGGGTGGGGTGGGGGCTTGACATTTACTTTTTGCCCTTTAAGCAAAAGGCTTAGTTAAGGAGACTGCTGAAAAAGCCATCTCCGACACCCCTCTCTCGGAACGTGATGACGACATTGACATTTACATAGGGCTCGGGGCAACATGAGTAGTGCACAACTTGCCGGGTCTGAGTAGCTGACAGAATCTCGTACTTGGAGCCTGCGTAATACGAGCTGAGATCCACTTGGTCTGTGTCCGTTCTCAGGTCTATTTCAAACCCGCTGTATACCCAAGAACCAAATTTCACGGCACACGTAACCCCCTCCTCGCTGTCTACCCCAGTCGGGTCACACATGATGCTGAGGCGTTGGGCAGGAATATACGTGACAGAACCGTCATAGTTGAAAATGGCAATCTGCGGGGATAGGACCTGTACAGGTCTTGTAGAACTGTACGCAGTGATGTCAGGTGTCCAGATGTCTTCCGCGGACGTCCTGAAGTCGGTGATGTTGCCAAACCGACTCGGATCCCACTCGCGACTGTCGAGCTGCCATCTCTGCTGCTGGTAGATAACTATGTCCACCTCGTTCGTGGATGAGTCGACCTTGACAATGTCCTGGATGCTAATCCCCAAGGTCACGGTCACAGGATCATCCGTGGTGGGGCCTGGGTACTTCGGGACCCTATGGAAAAGGCTACTTTTGAGGCGCATGAGGTTGTGTTGGCTGTGAGCTTGTCCCACTGAGGAGGGATGGGGAACAGAGTGTAAGCTAGATATATAGATACTATATAGATAAATGTTGTTGTTATATCTTTAAGATAGACAGATAGATAGATAGATAGATAGATAGATAGATAGATAGATAGATAGATAGATAGATAGATAGATAGATGGATGGATAGATAGAAAGACAGATAGATAGATCGATAGATAGATAGATAAATAGATAGATAGATAGATAGATAGATAGATAGATAGATAGATAGATAGATAGATAGAGAGAGAGAGAGAGCGAGAGATAAACAGTTAAATCCATTTCGCAAAATCAAATTATGGTGGTAAGTCATATTTTATCCTACTGATGAATTTGCAAAGTTGTAATCACTCGTATGTTTCAACTAATCAATCTCAAAAGCAAGATAACTTGTGGTCTTCCATCATAAGGCATACAAAATATTTCCATACCATATCAGCTGACGAAACAGGCTTTTACCGAAAGAGAGCAGACGACCTGTCCTGACTCTAAGCTTAACTTACCACAGGCCACCAGGAGAGCGAGATACACCGAGACGAGCATCCTGTCTTTCTCTCGGTCGGTTCCACAACAAATAATAAATTCTCACTCAACTTGGCACGGCTTTGCCCACTGCCTGACCCCGAGTGGAGGTATTTATATACCCCGGGAGGAAGAGGCTGTTTTGGAATACGTCCAAATTCCTTCTTTTTATGGAGGCAGTAATTGTAATAATCATATTTTCCCCCGTGTGAGGCTCTGAAAAGAAGAAGAAGAAAAAAAGAAAAAAATAACTTGTAGTATTGAGAGAGCCGTTGAAGACCTAGATCTAACCATTTATTTACAGGAGCGGCATTTCAACATACTTTTAGAGACACCCAAACTCACAGATTTGGCAAGAGGTGTAGAATGCGTCATGTTTTTGTTGCAACTTCTATGACATTGTTGTTGTTGTTGTTGTTGTTGTTGTTGTTGTTGTTGTTGTTGTTGTTGTTGTTGTTGTTGTTTTTTTGTGGGTTTCTTCTTCTTCTTCTTCTTCTTCTTCTTCTTCTTCTTCTTCTTCTTCTTCTTCTTCTTCTTCTTCTTCTTCTTGGAACGAAATACCGAAGTAAACAAAAGATGTCAATTTTTACAATAAATAAACACCCCACCAAAATAACTCCATCCCTTAAAAACAATTAAAAAATAACCCAACAAACAAACAACGAATGTATAATTTCCTCCCAGTTTCTCTCTGTCTTTCCCTGTTACTTTATTATACGCCTAGCCCGCACTGTCAACGGTTCTGTTTTCCACACTGTGAAGTAGGAGCATGGTACCGGCGTTGTATTATTATAACAATTGTATCATTATCTTCGGTAAAATTTGTTGTAAGTGTGATAATACTCAGTGAGTGTGTCCTGGTCATTTCGGGATACTTTCCACGACAGTGAACGAGTCAGGGCAAACATGGGTTGGGCTGTCATTGCGGTTTTTCGCGCCGCAAATACAAATATGCGGCTGCAAATTTCTTAGCTTCCGCAAATAACCGCAAATTTTACAAAAAAAATGTAGTCTTAAAGACGTATTTCCCTTCTTTTGGGCCGTTCTCGAACTCAAATTTTACATCAGGCTCCTGGAAGTCTGCCAGATTTGTTTCCCATCGTTCTGAACTTCATTCGCAGTCTAGATCTCTATTCTAATCCTATTTATGCTCTTATTTTTTACCGCTGACACTGGTACACTGTTGCAGCGTTAACAGTAACAGTAGCAGCGTCTTGTCCTTCGTAAAATTTTCTTTCTGAAGTGATCGCTGAAGCGTGACTGCAATAACAATAGAAACATTTCCCAAGAGCAAATGTGGTCGACATGAAACAGCACACCAACGACATACCGAGTTGACTAGTTGGAGGTACGTAAGTGAGGACAAGCTGTTGTGTACGGTATTTGTACCCCTGGCAACGTTTGACTCTTATGGTGTGTCCTTTCTGGAGGCGTCAGCACTGTGCGGGAGAAGTGGTCCCGGCCTAGATATCTGGATCTATCTCCATAGACATTTATACACAAAATCGAAAACAAAAACGGAAGTCGAGTAAAAAAAAGCCCAACTAAACTGAGTTGCCTGCAAATCTATTGGAGACTAGATTTATTTTCGGCACTGTTCTGAATTCTAACTGTTTTTGTGTGTGCTGGGAACAATTGTGGCACAAAAAACTGCCACAAGCCATTATTTTGTGAATTTAACAGGGGGGAGACCCCCCCCCTCCCCCTACACCCCCTTTAACACTGGGGAGACCCCCCTCCCCCCCCCTACACCCCGCCCCCGTTTTGTTTCCGATTGTATACATAATATATAAATGTTTATGGAGTTAGGCACGAACCACTTCTCCCTGAGAGGCTGGATCGGAATTTGAGGATGGGCATTCAAGGCATATTTTGTCAAGCATATTGGGCGGTCAACCAGAAGCTTGAGAAGTACACTTCCCACCAAAGATAGCAAGGGATCATGAGCTAATCAAGGATTTACCCTTTTTTGATCCTACCAGAAGGATTTTTGTTTCACTACGTTGATACTCTTGATTTGCCTGGCCTGAAAGAAGTGCCAGCTACAGAAACCATGATATAAAGAATCTCTTGGTCCAAAAGCTGTGAAGACATCAGGTGGTATTTCCCTTGATCTTACTGTCTTTTGGAACAGTGTTAGTTAAGATGTCCCCCCCCCCTTCCCCTTCGTGGTGGGAGGAATTAGTACTCTTCGAATAGGAAACGAAAAAGAGGAAGCTAACGGGTCAACAGGTGACCCCGAAAAGTTGTTGTTGTTGTTGTTTTTATCGACCCAGCAACAGCTGGGCTCTCACCCTTCTGTCCAATGCCATGTAGTGATAAGTGCAGGTTTGCTGCAGTTGCTGTAATGTTCCATAGAGTGTGTTGTCAATGTTAGGTCTCGGAGGGAGAAGGGTAGCTCTGATGTCATTTAGGGCTGTGCAGTGGAACAGGTGATGATCCACAGTCTCATATTATGCATAGTCACACAAGGGACACATTGGGGGACGTTCCGGGCTTATTCTGTTCAGGTGGAAGTTGAGCTGTATATGTTCTGTTCGTAGGCGGAAGATCGTAGTCTGTTTCTTTCTCTGTATATGGTCGATATTGTCATTCCTTTTTGTTGTGGTCATATGTTTGAAAACTGCTCTGCCTGTCTTTCCCAGAGCCCATCTGTTCATCCAATCTTGTTTGTTGTTGCTTTTAATGATTTGTTTTGCAGTGTTGTATGAAGTTGGAGTGTTGGGTTGTTCCTGTCTAGATCCCCGTTTGGCAAGTGTGTCTGCTCTGTCATTTCCAGGTATGTTTGAGTGTCCGGGGATCCACTGCATTACTAGGTTGACGCCACAGAATGTTACCAGATGATGGGAGCCAAACAGTATATGAGTCAAAGCTTGGTTTGGATGATGGTCATTTTCTATGGCTTTACAAGCTGATAGTGAGTCAGTGAAAATCACAACACTCTGTGCTTTTCCAGGATGAGTGTCAAAAACTGTGCGGAGATGGTACAGTGCTGTTTCAATTGCCATCATTTCTGCATCATAGTTGCTGCATTTCTCTCCATAGGCTGCAGAGATCTCATTGGAACTTCCATCTGGGTACTATATTAGTATTCCATATCCGGCTTTGGTTGTGCCTTTGAATGCTGAGCCGTCCGTATAGACGTGTATCCAGTCATCTGAATAGCTGTCAATTGTTTGATGTGATGCAAGCATCAGCGTCACTGGGTCTGAAGATTTTGTGCTAGTGTCTCGGAGAGATGTTGTAATGATTGGCTTTTTTAAAGAAAGGTTGGGAGGGATGTTTTGGTTAACTTTTTAAAAATTTCTTTTCTGTTTTGTGGTAGATGATGACTCTCCATTAGTTCTGTGATGTGATGCATGATTGACTTTTGCTGAATTTGATTCTTTGGTTTCCATGTTTCTACTTATTTCCTCTTTGGGTGGTTGGGGCACATTCTTTTAGTTCTTTCATGTAGCTCCAAAAACTGCAGTATCTCTGCGGATTCCCAGGGGTTCAACGTTTGAAAGGATTTTGCACGCGGCGGTAGGTGTGGATCTCATGCCACCATTTATAAAACGAAGGGCATTATTTTGGACCTTGTCAATGGTGTTGCAAGTAGTTGTGCTGTACATAGTGAGTAGGCTATTGCTGTATTCCAGGGCAGATCGGACATAACCCAGGTATAGAGCTCTCAGAGTTT